GCTTGGGTGGCACGACAACCAACATTTCAAGAGGCAGCGCAAAAAAAAAAGGAAGCAGAAGCTGCAGACACTGCCACTGGAACAAGCCAACGCAGACGCCGACGCCGATGATATTGAGGACGAAGCACGAAGTACATCCTTCATGTCTCGAAGCGCGGGAACTCGTTAAGCCTCCTCTCACGGTGCAAAGTTCACGGCTGCTTCACGGAGATCCTTATCTACCTAGTCGCGGAAATAACAAAGGATAAAATCAATTATAAGCACATTTATTTATAGTTTAGGATATATATTAACATAAAATCTCATCAAAATTTGAATTATACGTTTTTCATTTTTTCGTCCAATATCCGGTTTTTGTTAGATTCGCCCCACTGTGCGCCGCCACTGAGCCAGCCGAGACCACGCGCCATGCCGAAGATCACCGGGATAGAGAGGACGAAAGTCGACCTGGAGGCCATACGGAGCCGGCTAAAACCTCTGGCACCGCCACCAACACCGGCCAACAACCGCGATATCAGAGCCGAGTCAACCGGACGTGCAAACGACTGTACGTGCGAACGGATTGGTATTGCGCGAACGCGACGCCTATAAAAGTGTCGAAACGAACGGACTGAGGTGCGAATGCTCGACACAACGAACCGGCTGACCGAGAGGAAGACGCCGAAACATAATGCCGTACCAGAGACCGGCGGGAATCGACCCGCGCGATCCGATGCGACGACCAGTCGACGAAAGAGACCGAGAACGACGTAACGTTCTCACCCGGGAGATTGAGAGGGTCGCCATGATATTGCAGAACCGGCAACAATCACGCCAGGTCCTACAATACGCCGAATCATACGCGGTACAATTACCGCCGATCGATCGTGACGAAGAACAACGTCTGGACGACGATAGCCAGGCGAACATTCGGCTGGCAAAAGCGATCTCGGTGTGCGAAGAAGGACGATTGCGCACTTGGAAGAGATGCGTCGATACGACGATCGACGACCCGATCGACGGCACGACAATGGCCACGGCCCTTGTCACAGTGACGCAACAATGCAGCGGGGAGAGACCGATGCCACCGCCCTACCGCATCGTCATAGATGTAAACGGGGATGGCATTAGAGCCAGATCGTATCTCCATAATTGCAACGCGGCAGCCGACAACAACAACGATCGCGATGAAACGATCGTTGATGAACGAGCGGCGAGAGAAGAAACGGCAGCGACGGCGGCGCGACAGCGACGCGAAATCGAAGAGCTGCCACGATTGTTAACCTCGCGATTGCACCGCGGTGACCGAGAGATTGGCCAGGTGACTCCAATAAAACCGACGGCGTAATCGCCAAGACAGCGCAAGCAAGGAGTGATGACGCCGAGGATGGTGACCCAGCAGCAGCAGCAGCAGCCGCGACCAGAGACATCAATGCCAAGCGAAGCAAGTGGAGGTCAACGGACAAACGGGGCAGCGAGCGGCATGGAAAACAATTCCGAAGCGGAATCGATGTCAACCCCGACAAGAGATCGAACGCAACAACACCGTCGAGCGAGGCAACGTTAAGCAGACCGGCGAGCCGGCGGACGGAGGGGTCCGAAAGCGGGGAGATAGGGCCGGAACAACGGCAACGGAGCGACGGACGCAACAACGATGACGAGGTACGACAGGTTTCTTCTTCTTTTTCGTCTCGTTATTGGTACAGCTTTCCTTTCGTATTTGCATCAATCATTATTCGATTCGGTAGGTACAACAGGCGAACCTCGCGGAGCAGGCGACCTACGAGATCGCGACGACCGATCAAATTAGATCCGCAACAACTGTCGAAGCAATGGGCGCGATGGTCGAGGTGGAGGAGGAAGAGAACGCACCACCGAACGAAACAACAACGAGAACGATGACCAATCGAGACGCAACACCGCATGGTGATTTCTGCCCAGTGCTCTGAATGTCAACGTGAAGAAATTCAAGCAAGCGCGGGTAAACGGCGGGAGTAACTATGACTCTCATTATGGTAGCCAAATGCCTCGTCATCTAATTAGTGACGCGCATGAATGGATTAACGAGATTCCCACTGTCCCTATCTACTATCTAGCGAAACCACTGCCAAGGGAACGGGCTTGGACAAATTAGCGGGGAAAGAAGATCCTGTTGAGCTTGACTCTAGTCTGGCACTGTAAGGAGACATGAGAGGTGTAGCATAAGTATGCTACTAACAGACCCCCGCCGATACCAACCACCGGCCCGACGGCACCTCCAGAGGCGGCCACGGGCAAACAACCCAGGCGGCTACGGGCTACGACACACCACTACGTTGCGATCTTACGTTTATATACAGATACATATTGTATAGTTTTAAGAGGTGCCATAGCGCACATTACACGCGTTACATAATAACAATACGTCTTTTTTTTACAATTATACCATTATTGCAGGGCTACTTGATGAAAAAGGGCTTCCTGCTGCCAACGTTGCGGTACTTCTGGTTTGTGCTGCGTCCTGGTGAATTGACGTATTATAAAGATCCCCAACAGAAAGAACCGTCCGGATTAATACTGCTGAATGCCAATTGCTGGGCCGATACGCTGACAAACGGTGAAAAAGCCCGATAGAAGATTCGTGCTGAGCACCCCCGAACATAGATGCATCGAGCTAGTGGCAGAGGATCACAAAGGCAGACTGCAGTGGCTCGCGGCATTGCAAACGGCCATTCAGCATTCGGGCGAGAAAATCGGCTATCAGAGAAGTTTGGCCAATCAAAGAAGATCCTTGCGACAAGTAAATTAAAACAAATAAATTGAAACAGAAAAATATATATGTTTTAATTAGAACAGATAACAATTTTACTTGGAATTTATTTCACAACGTATTGCTGCTTGCTAGGCTACTAAACAGGAAAAAGAAGAGACCAAGCTGGAACTATAACACGAGAGGCAGGCTAGAATCGCCGCCGAGATCCAAGCTCGGAAATTGGAAACTCTGTCAAAGGAAGAAGGTGCCAAGGTTCAACAACTAGAAGATGTTAAACAGAAGCTAGAATTACTGCTGCAAGAAGAAAAGCAGGCCCTACGCGACGCGGAAATAGGTAAGATTAATGTATCTACTGTATTTAATTTTTATCACACCATGTTCTTGTAAGATTGTAGTATAATTTAGATACGCGCTATGTACGCATTTACAGTACGAAATTTACAAGCGAGAGTACTACGCGAAGAATAGGAAAAGAGAGAACAATTGGAGAGATTGCAGCAGAAGCAACAAGAATTGCTGGAGATGGAAAAGATGAAAAGAATGGAATTTGAGCGGATGCAGAAAAAAAACGAGCAACAGTTGCAAGGTATATAAAATCCAGAAGATAAAAAAATTAAACATTAAATTGTTAATCATATTAATAAACGTAATCACGTAACGTTTTCGTAAATTTCTCCAATCTTTTTTTCTTCAATTTCTCAGTGTTTATTCTAGATTATATTCAGATTATTTCCAGATAAAAGTTATAATTATTCATAATCTGCTGTTTATGTGACAAATTTCTTTGTGATTTCTCTCTCGTATACGGCTTTCCCTAAAATGTGTTTGTTATATTAGACATGCATACTTTTTTCACGTTTCTTGAAATGAAATTATATTTGAAAAATAGCTAAATAGCCCAGATGTCCAAGAAATATCTTATTGTTAAAGACATTCCTATATTTTAAGTACGTTCCTTGCAGTGCGATTCTATAATTCGTTACGCCAAAAATGCTTCGAAACGTTTCTCTTCTCCTTCTATCTTTATTGAAAGAAAGGAGAAGAAGAATGTTTCAAGACATTTACAGTATCAAATTGACTGTAAAGTCATATCTACTATATTATATATTACAACAACAATGTAATGATAACGATGACTCGTAACAAGTTACAGATTCACACCGCGGTCACTACATGTCAGGCATAAATCCAAAAAAACTTATAAATTAAGCATATATGTGTTATTAATATTTATCATTAATATCCACGGCACACAAATAAATGTTGTCTTACGTAGCTAGTGATCACGTGTGTTCTTGTCTGAACACGAACACTGAGAAGTCTTGGACACGAATGCGCAAAATTTTTTGAATTTTCAGCAAAACCGTTCTTTCGGTGTTTTTGCAATGAGAATAACGAGTTACGGTAACGATAAGTTGCTTTTTTGAATGAATAACGGTAACGAGTTACGGTAACGATGAGTTACTTCTTTCAATGAGTAACAAGTAACGGTAACGAGTTACTTCTTTTAAGAATAACGAGTTGTATACAGTAACGATAATTTACTTTTTCAATGAGCAACGAATTACGGTAACGATTTACTTTTCAAACGTAACTTTCCCTGATATTATATTATTAATTAATACACCCTAAGATTATAGATATTATTAATGAATTATTTATTTATTTGAAATATATTATTATAAAATATTCTCAAAATATATGTTGGGACAACTTTGCCGAGTAATTAAGAGTGCTTCCGCACAAGACTCTCGTATAGTAATGTAGCGTAACGTAACGTAGATCAACGCATTACTATACGAGAATTTTGTGAGGATACCCTTACAGTCATGATGAACGAATATCTAGAGACGGAGCACGCGCTCTGAATATGCCCCGATACGCATGCAATTTCAAGTGAGAAGGCATTCCTGTCCCCGTGTGTACAACTTTTCACGAAAGATATAATTTTATCAAAAACACGAGGCTTTTCTAAAAATTTTTTTAGCACTAAATTGAGAGGTAGTGTAACAATATTCGTTTTTTTTTTGTTAATAGTTGTGTAGTTTGTTTGCGTTTGCGTAATGAAAGAGAAGATGCAATAATTATTTTCTTTGGCATGAATAAAAAACCATTGTCTTTAAAAAATTTAAGCGTCATGTGTGTACGGTCTTGAAAACTTGTAACGATTTTTTCATAACTTTTAGTTTTCCACATAGATCTGTTAATTCTTCATATTCAGGTTGTAATTAAAAGATATATTACTTATCTCTTTCTGTTAATCTATTAACAGCTTGTTATATTTACAGCATCATGCCTTGGACTGTGTGCAGGTGCAAGAAAACGAATTGTTTCACCAATAATCAATGCATATGCGTAAGAGAAAGCATAGCATGCAGAGAATCTTGTCTGTGCCGCGATAAAGGGAGAAAACAGTGCATTGATGTAAGTATAGATATTTAATATAATAGTATGATACATAATTATTATTTGATATATTTATTATTATTTTTTTTTTTTTTTTCATATCAAATAGCCAGCAGTGGCATCGACCAGCACTGCAGTTTCAACTTGTACTGACGAGTTTCGGCTTTTAACAGTAAAAACGGGTGCCATAAAAAAGACCAGCACTGCAGTTTCAACTTGTACTAACGAGTTTCGACCTTTAACAGCAAAAACGGGTGCCATAAAAAAGACCAGCACTGCAGTTTCAACTTCGACTCAGACCTTAAATGAAAATGAAATGGAAATGGTAAATGCCTTGCAAAAGCGTTTGCAGGAAACGGAAAAAAAAGCAGAAAAATGGGAAATTTTTGCTGATAAGATGGAGACAGAGAACAGGAAATTGCATAATGTAATCCATGAATTAAAAGGAAACATTAAAGTCTTTTGTCGAGTGCGTCCATTGACGCAGAAAGAAAATGAGCAGGAGAAAGCGTAAGTAAATGTGTTTTGCAATTATTAGAGAAAATTTTGTATAAAGTTTTTGAGAAGATCAAATATTTATATTTTATCGTTTATTTTTTGTTAAAGGGAGAAAACAGTGCATTGATGTAAGTATAGATATTTAATATAATAGTATGATACATAATTATTATTTGATATATTTATTATTATTTTTTTTTTTTTTTCATATCAAATAGCCAGCAGTGGCATCGACCAGCACTGCAGTTTCAACTTCGACTAACAACGGTTCAACTTCGACTAACATTCGGCCCCTGACGGTAAAAACGGGTGCCGTAAAAAAAAATTTAACGAGACGTTTAGTAGAATTAGAAGAAGAAGAAGAAGAAGCAGAACTTGAAGCAGACTTAAATACTAACGAGTTGGATATGGCTACCGGCGGAAAGAACAAGAAAGATTTAGCGAAACGACTACAGCAGTCAGAGGATTCGCGTAATGCGTGGCAAGAAAAAGCCATAAAACTTGAAAACGAGCTTCAGGTGGCTTCCACCTTAAAGGTGGAATTGGAAATGAAAATTGATACCTTGCAAAAACGTTTGCGAGAAGTAGAAAAAGAAGCAGAAGAATTTCAATAATTCCTACGAGTAAATGGTAAACATAAAGTATACGGCTTCGTATAATATACCAACAAATGGTCAGGCTGAACGTTTTATACAAACAAGTTTTACATTGTATAAACTGTGATTCTTTAAATGTCGATTTAGCATTAAATAACGTACGGAAATTATTGTAATTTAAAAATAAATAGTTCTTATATAAATTACGCACCAAGAACCGCGTTGTCACTCTCATAACCAAATCACTATATTATTTTTTATTATCAAGAGTCTTAAAGAATTTTAGCATTAAATAAATTATTATTACAGTATATGATTACTTATCAATGTATGCAGCAAAATAACTTTTTTCTTAAGAAGGGGTAGATGTGTGTTCATTTTACGCGCGCTCTACTGGATTAGACGCTCTAGGATAAGACGCGCTAAAGTAACTGGATAGACAAAGTACTGCAATCACAGACATCTATATTATACATCCATGGACAACGATTCGTCCAATACACGGACCTTATAGATATGGACTGGCAACTGCCTACAGTTTATTATAATGTACAGAAAAAGTTAGAGAAAGAGCCATCTTCTCTCTTTTTTTCTTTCCATACTTCCGGACACTTTGGAGAGAGAAGTATATTTCTCTCTCTTTTCCTCTTTCGGTGCTTCCGGACATTTTAGAGAGAGAAATACGTGACAAGATGTGCTATATATGTATTGCCAGTCCATGGTCAATATTGCCTTAAATTTCGCTACATGCTTTTGCTCACCAAATATCGCAGGCCCAATTTTTGAACATTTAAGTAATTGGGAAAAAACGCAAGAGACCGCGATAAAAACATA